ATCTTTAACCCTTGGCTGGCTGTTTGGGTGTGTGGGTCGGAACGGGGACAGAACAGGTCCACAGTACCCTTTTAAACAGGAAAGAAGTTGATGGTTCATACTACCAACATAGCCAATTGACAAATGCTGACCGTATGAAACCACTCTCCAGCAGAGAAGTCCCTGGGAGAAGATGCAAGTGTGTCAAAAGCTGCAAGATGGCAGATGTGCCTAGTGTGATCACACACATACACAAAAGGGATGGGGCTTTGATTGACCAGCACGTTGAAGATTTTGACTCACCCCTTCCTTCTAAGACTAAGCATCTGATAAATATTTGATTTCCATTTCCTGAACTGGTTGCTCCCTAACTACAACTTTACCGTTTCTTCTTCACTGCCCAAGGTGATATAATCTCTTGAAGGAGTCTGAGGTTGCGGAATTCAACAAATAATTTTTGAACAGCTCTTCCCCACTGTCTCATTGATCTCAGGACCTTGATGAGGAAAATGAAGTTCTCCAGTCAAGCAAAAGCAGGGATTTATTTAGAGGTGTTTTTGTTGTTGTTGTTTTTAAAATGCTATCAAGCTGATTTGCCAGTTTGGCCTACAGGCATTTTTAAAAACAAACAAACAAAGCAACTGAGATGAAACAGCAGAAAAAGAGATAGCATTTAGCTAGCATTTTAAATTCGCCAAGGACGAGAGATGAATAGAATTTAATTTATTTATTTCACTTTCATCAAGCATTTGTTTTAATGAGCTCAAGTAAGCATGGGGTGCCAGTTCTTGTTTTATTCTCCCAACAACAGGTGTGAGATAAGTTTGTGTGACAAAACAAACAAACAAACAAACAAAAAAACATTTGGCCCAAAGACATTCACTGGTTGAGTTTAGAGACGAGCCATATGCAAAATGTCAAATCTGAATTGTTTGACGTCCCAAACCACCTTGTTTTGACCTCAGAATAGTCCTTTCAGTGGCAAATGATCTCTTTGCAATTTAAAACAAGTTCATTTGATTAGTCTGAAGGTGTTTTGTGATAGGAATAGAGCTATTTCTTAATTGGCCCTGGCTACTTTGAACCTGAGGGAAAACCTCTTTTGAATTTGGAACTCTTACTGATGTGCTCAAAATAACTCTTTCAATGCTCAGTCCAAGATGTTCCAAATTCAAGATATTTTGCACCGTATATTAACCCCTAAATCTCTCTCTGGCTCCATCAAAGTCCAATTGTTGCCAAAAATATACAGGTAGTCCTCAAATTATGACCTCAGTTGAACCCAAAATTTCTGTTGCTAATCAACACAGCTGATAAGTGAGTTTTGCTCCATTTTACGACCTCTCTTCCACAGTTGTTAAGTGAGTCAGTGCAGTTGTTAAATTAGTGACACGGTTAAGCTTCCCCATCGACGTTGCTCGACAGAAGGTCTCAGAAGGGGATCACATGACCCCGGAACACTGCAACCATCATAAGTACATGCCAGTTGCCAAGTGTTTGAATTTTGATCCTGTGATCAGGGGGAGGCTGCAACAGTTGTGAGTGTGAAAAATGGTTATAAGTCGCTTTTTCGGTGGTATTCTAACTTTGGTCACTAAATGAACTGGTGTAAGTGGAGGACTTACAACTGCATTAAACAGAAGTAAGCTTTGCTAAATGCCGCATCTGAAGGCAGAGCAGCTATGCAGTGAGAAAGATTTTTAACCAGGGTTCTTCAAACTTGGCCCTTTTATGACTCGTGGACTTCAGCTCCCAGAATTCCTCAGCCAGCCATGCTGAGGGGAAAGGGAGAGGTTTCCAAGCTGAGCCATGCTGGCTCAGGAATTCTGGGAGTTGAAGTCCATGAGTCATAAAAGGGCCAACTTTGAAGACCCCTGATTTTAACTCTGTCATGAAATGTTTTCATGAGAACTGAAACCCAGCCATGCTTTGATCTTGGGAAGGCTTCTGCTAAGGAGTGGCCATGATGTGGGACCCAAAGTCTTCCTTGCTACATCAGGAACAGCTGGAGAATGACTGCTGACCTAGATGGTAGCAAATGGGAAGAAGATAGCCTGCAAGGATTTCAAAATCCTGACTCCTTTCCTTGGCAAACAATACACCTCTCAGCTTTTATGAGCCCAATTTCAAACTATGCCCCAGAATCCTGGCATGGTTTTGTCCAAACCCTGAGCTACAAGCTTAGCAAGTCCTGGTTAACATCACCCTGTGTGCTGCCAATTAGTTTGAAGCAACAGCTGTCCTTTGTAAAATCAGAAGTCCTAATGCAGCAGGTTTGAAGATGACAGCCATCAGGCAGGAATGACAGATGGCCTTGAGCTGCTTCTGGCTCCTTTCTCCCCATCTTCCCTCAGAATCAAGTTTCATTTGCCAGTTTTTCCTGAAGAGTGACAGCTGGGTTTGGCGATGGCCACAGCATTTTAGTCAGTGTTTCTCAATATCCACCATTTTAAGATGTGTGGCTGGGGAATTCTGGGAGTTGAAGTCCACACAGTGGTGGGTGGTTGAGAAACATCGTCGTACGTTCTTTCTCTCTGATTACTGTTATTCGTCATTACTGTTGTTCATCATCATCTTTTTCTTTCTTTCTTTCTTTTTTTGAGATTATTTGGTGTGTTTGTGTAGGCTGTCCTTAATCCTGCAAGGTAAATCATTGTCTCTTCCTGTTTCCGGTAACTGGATGGTCACCTTGTTCCTTCCTCAGATTATGTGGGGTCTGCATCTGAAATAAGACTAGAATTCAGATCTTTAAAGGTTTGATTTTAGCTGGGTACAGAGTTGCTTTGGGGCACGTTTGTCATAATTGCAGAACATTAATAGAAAGATTGTCTGCAAGCTGAAAGTCAAGAAGTAGAGTGTCTTGTCAAAAGGAGCTTATAATAGAATTAGCCTGAGAAAAGGAAGGAATGTATTCAGATATTGCAAAAGAAAAAAGGATGGACATTCCTTTTGTATCTTTTAAATAGAAAGCAACCCTCCTCACCCTTCCAGTCAAGAAACTCTTAGAAAATGAATCAAAGACAGCAAGGAAGTTTTGTCTTCATATGCTCAAGAATAAATGGGAGCTAAAGTACATATAACTAGCTATCAAATCCCCTTTTTGCAAGAAACCCACCTAACAAGACTGAGAATTTATCAGCTTTAGTTATGAATTGCTTGATAGGTTGTGCTAGACACAGAGCCAAGATGCGGGTGAGAATCCAATTTTGATCCTGTGCATCAAGGACAAACTGTCTCCATCAACGCCTGAATCCATTATTCTATAGAGGACTATTAAGGTTTCCTGTAGGTAGCCTTCTTAAAATCATTTGGCACTTATTATGGCTTATATGTCCTTGTAATGACCAGGAGCACCTGGTCTGAGCACCTTTGGCATATAGTCATGCTGGCCACATGACCACGGTGTCATGGTTCCAACAGATGAGACTGGACAGACATTGGTCTGAAATTGTATAGGGTTTCCTGTCTGAGCAGAGGGTTGGACTAGATGACCTCCAAAGTTCCTTCCAACTCCAACTCTGTTCTATTATTGCTGGATCATCAGGGGACTGTTTGAAAGAAAACCAAAGAGTCTTTACAACCTACCTGGAGATAGATTGGTTCTAAATGGGAAATGGTTCAGTTGCTGGGAATTCTTGTAACTCCATCTAGTTCTTCTCAATCAATCTTGCTAAATGCTCCCCAGGAAATCCTGCTTGGAATAAAAAAAAGTTTTAAGCAGCTTCTGAAGACCCTGATGCCAATCCCAGCCCCAACATCCATTCAACATCCATTCACAGCTGCCAAAATCCCAAGGATTTTGCATTTTGGGTGGTCTAGTTAAGAACTGAAATGAGTGCCTGTATTTTTGCCCAGAGTCAATACTCTTGACCACTTTAAAAATTCAAACCCCCATAAAAAAAGAGATATCCCCCCCTTTCTTTGGTATCTTATGCTGCATGAGATCTTTGTCATTACAAAAAGCAACTTGTAGCTCCCCTTCTGAGTAAGCTGCCCCTTCCTTTCCTAGACCTTTGCAGCAATAGGCACATGAATGAGATGATGTCACGGCAAGACCCCTGCGTTTTTAAAGCTAGCACTCCCAAAAGAAGACAGGAAACCACGGGCTTTCTCCCCAGTGTGTTATCATTTTTGCACGATGACTTTTGTTGAACGCTTATTGGGATAGTCTCATCACAGCCACACCAGAAGCAGTTAGATGGTTAGCTTCCTTAGTTATTGAATTATAGCATCTACTTTATGGTGCCATATTTAGCAACAGCAATAGCACTTACACCCATATAATGCTTCACAGTGCTTTACAGCCCTCTCTAAGTGTTTTACAGAGCCAGCATATTGCCCCCCAATAATCTCATTTTACCAACCTTGGAAGGATGGAAGGCTGAGTCAACCTTGAGCCAGTCAGGATCGAACTGCCAAAGTGCAGAAGTAGCCTGCAGTACTGCATTCTAACCACTGCGCCACCAGGGCTCATGGTTTTTATCATGGTTTTACCTTAATATTTTATCCTGTATATTGTAATGTCTATACATTACACACATACACACCCACTTGCTGATGCTCTACTTAAACTTATATGTGTATTGTATATATAATGTGTATTATTAGTGATGTATGTTATGTGAGCTCGGTAGATGCCATTTGCTACATAAATAAATGTGTGAATAAGAAAGGAGAACAGGGGTTGAGACGCTCCTAATCCTCTCCACCTTCCACTCCCTTGTCTGCAGCTGCGAGCAAATGGGGTCCATGGAGTGAATGGAATCTCTGCTCCAAGACTTGTGACACTGGCTGGCAGAAACGTTTCCGGATGTGCCAGGGGACAGGCGCACAAGACTACCCCTGTGAGGGCAGTGGGGAAGAAGTGAAGACTTGCAATGAGAAAAAATGCCCAGGTATTTGGAACATAGCACGCCAGCCCTTCTCAAGAGGGATGGGCAGAAGAGTTGTCCCGCATGGTGTTCTACTGGTTTTCATTCAGTTTAATGCGGGGTTTCCTAACCTTGGCAAATTGAAGACGTGTGGATTTCAACTCCAAGAATTCCCCAGCCAGTCATGCTCGCTGGGGAATGCTGGGAGTTGAAGTCCATACATCTGAAATGTCTGAGGAGTAGAAATTGCAAATTGCGCAGGATTGAAAGAGGACCATCCAATGAAGGACTGAAATCAGGAAGTGTCTGGTAGCACCTGTTCTATCTTAATTTTTATTAAAATCTGAACAGATGCTATGAAATGCCTATTCCCCCCCCTCCTGCAATCTTATGCTAACACAGCTTTCCTCCTACGAGATGCGTGAGTGGGCATTCATTAGTGTCTGTGGCCATTTTGTCATCTCATAGGGGCAAGTTGATGCAGGTTGTCAATCTTGCGAGGTACTTCAGATAAGAGGCCGATCCGGAAGTTTTAGTTTTATCTTTATTGTAAGATTACATCAACAGAATCTTGCAAGTCTGAAAATACATCAATACATCTCTCCCACTTCTTCACAGTCCAAGATACTAGGGAGGGTCCCTTCTGAGACAATTGCCCCACCCAATTTTATTCTGTTCATCTGTCTCTTATCTGACCATTGCTTACTCTGCATCCCTTCTGCCTGTCTCCCAACATCTTTCCCAGGTATCTTACACAGCTTCAACCTTGGGGATATATTCTAAATCTCGTTGCTTTTGAAAATAAATTTAAAAGCATATTTTGCTCCCTCCAATGATATGAGAATTGGTAGGAAAAAATATGAGATAATTCATCTGCACATCCTTAATTTGGTGATGGGCCATCACATCTGCTGTGTCCGTTCTCCTTTTCCCCACCATTGTATCTTTGGACTAACTTTGCTAGGTGACTGTATTGGACTAACTTTGCTAGGTGACTGCTGCCACACCTGTTCCCTCTTCTCTCCTCCCAGCCTTTCATGAGATGTGTAAGGATGAGTCCATTGCCCTGATGACTTGGAAGAAAGCTTCAGCTGGTGAAACAGTCTACAACAAATGCCCCTCCAATGCTACAGGTAGGTAGATACCTGGGTAGAGATTGACAATGTAGGTTCCCCAAACTGGAGCCTAAAACACTACAGAGGACAACTGAAAAAGGAGAGGTAGATTTATGAATGACAGACCTTTTCCAAATTGGATTTCACTCTGAAAACAGAGGACTAATTTAGTTGACATTAATAGCAACCAACCTTATGGTCTCTGGATCTGTTGGACTGTTGGTCCCATCAGTGCCAAGGCGACTGGGTTAGATGGAAGTTGGAGTGCAACATCAGAATTTGTTTCCTTTATTGAGTACTTCAAAGAAAATTACACATGCAAGAAGAAATATATAAAAAAGTAAAACAATATAATACAGATAAATGAACTGGGGACTTTAAAATGTCAGGGAGGTCTTAAATACCATTAACATTGTGAATAATTAAATATACCACATTAATCATTTTAAGAGACTAAAAATCAGTATTAAACCTAAGCTAAAATTGACTAGCAAAGACCATAATCAACATAACATAAATTGAATAAAATTGCACATTGTACTAAATTCAAATCCATCTTAGTAAAAATCTGTTTGGATTTAGATGAATTATACAATTGAAATGCAGATTCCATGCATAAATAAACCCCAAAGTTGGATGTAGTACTACCCTTTATTTTAAATCAAAGCCTCAGAATGCTTTCCACTCCTAACCATACTCAAAAACTCTGAGGTTTCTGGCGATGTCCATTTTGCTCTCCGAGTTCATGGTGACCTAACCCTAACCCTAAGTGGAATTTTCCTCCAATGGGATTTTCCCATGTATTTTACTAGGAAACATAGATAGGGCAGCCTAGAAAAGTCAGTGCCTCCTAACCATACCCAAGCACTCCGAATTTGTTGGCGGTGTCCATTTGTTTTATGTCTATTTGCTGACCGGAGTTTTCCTCATATCGATGGAAAACTTTATAAATCTGTTAAATAAAGAAACAGAAATATTCATGCTTCAGCTAAAAAGGAATAGGTTGGTTTCTATTTTCTAAGAGGAGAAAAAAACAGGGCATAATCGAATGTTCGGAGACAGTACTACAAATAAGGAACCTCGGTCAGCCCTGTGGTAAGATGGTGGGGCAATAAATTTAATAAATAGAAGAAAGATAAATGTGATATGAAATACAGGTAGTCCCCAGCTTACAGCAGTTCATTTAGTGACCATTCAAAGTTACAATGGCACTGAAAAATGTGACTGATGACCAATGTCCCACACTTATTGCTCTTACAGCATCCCCATGGTCACGTGATCAAAATTCAGATACTTGGCAATTGACTCATACTTATGATGACTGAAGTGTCCTGGAGTCATGCCACCTTCTGACAAGCAAAGTCAATGGGAAAGCCAGATCCACTTGTCACTAACTTAACAACTGCAGTGATTCACTTAACAATTGTGACAGGAAAGGTCATAAAAATGGGGCAAAACTCACTTAAATCTTGTGCTCAGTTGTGGTCGTAAATTGAGGACTACCTGTAATGAGATTGTACTGGGAATCCTTCTCTATCACTTGAGGTTGGTTTCTCCATCTGACTCTCCTTCCACTTAAAATACTGCTAAGGTCACAATCTGCCCATTTTCGAACTCTCACACTCTCCAGTGCCATAAACAGAATAAATAATAAACACTTTAAGAAAGCCAAGTTGGAAAGATATTTTTGTTACCGTTACTGACACAGTAATGTGTCAGAATGGGGACGATGATTTAGAAAGGCAACAGACGTGTTAGCACAGAAGCTGGAAGTGGCCAGGGATTCGAAAGCTGTTGGGTTAGATTCTCATTTCCACCATTGCCTATTCTATACTTGAAGTTGAAAAGCTTTTTTCCCCCCCAAATAAAATGCTACATGTTGGGTCATCAGGTCCAAAGAATTTAGATTGTCTCAGTGGCATTTTCTTCCATTCACTTCCAAGAGGTTTGGGTTGAAAATGTAAGGCAATAGTGTGTTTTATTTTGTTATTTGTGACCGGGATTGCTTTAATAAGGCAATTCAGGCAGAGAAAGGCATGCTAAACCGTTATGCGGTGGTTCTCCTCCTTCCTCACCGACCGTACGCAGTCTGTATTGGCAGGGGGACAGAGGTCGACTCCTAGGCCCCTAACTTGTGGGGTGCCGCAGGGGTCGGTCCTCTCTCCCCTTCTGTTCAATATTTATGTAAAGCCGCTGGGGGAGATCATTCGTGGTTTTGGGGTGGATTTCCATCAGTACGCTG